GTAGAGACTTGCAAGCCAGATAAGGGGCTTGTGAAGCAATCTGAATGAGATGCAAATTCATTGGAGAGTTTTGGCAGGAGAATAACCTATGATTTATATTTTGAAAAGCTCTATAAAAAGAAGCCAGGCTGCTGTGTGGAACAGAAACCAAGAGACTAGTCAGGAAGCTCCTGCAGGAGTGCTTGAAATAGATGAGGGGGACTTGAATTGCAGTGGGAGTGGTGAGAAGTTGTTATATTTGAGACAAGCTTTGGTTGTGGAGTTTGAGGAAAAGAGGAATTAAGGATGACAGTGCTTTGTGTTGTTTTGGGCTAAGCGATTGAATAATTACTGGTGGTTCTATTTACTGAAGACTGGGAATGTGTGGAAGCAGGTGTGTTGGTATATTGAGGAAGGTGGAATCCAAAACTCTGGGAAGTTTGAGATGGTAATTTGCCAGCCAGGTAAAGAAGTCCAGGAGGCATTAATTGGATAGAAGGGTACGAAAGAGTGTTAGGGGTGTCATAAATGACTCCAGGTTTCTGGGTTGTATAATTGAGTGGGTGGAAATGCCTTTTGTAGAGCTAGAAAACAGAATAAGGGCCAGATTTAGGGGAGAGGATCATAAATTTAGGTTTATATTTGTTGCCCATGAGGCCCCTATGAGCTGTGGGGTGATTTTTTTTTAAGATTTATTTATTTATGCATACAAGAACTGGGGTGCAGGCCAGAGGTGTGGGGGTGAGAGAATTCACCAGAGACAGAGCAGGGAACAGAACAGGCTGACTGACGAAATACACTGCTGAGGGGAGCAGCAGGCGAGACAGGAGAAATCTGCTGCATTATGTGGGATTCTCGCTGGCTGGCCAGGATCAAACCTGTGCTGCAGAGGCTGCAGACAGCTTCACAGTGCGGTGCTCAACTGCCTGCGCCACCAGGGGAGGCCCCCTGGGGTGATTTTTGAGTAACAACTACATGGGTACTACATACCCACGTCCATTCATGACTTAAAATGTTTCTGTGCTCAACCAAACTCATTATTAAAGTGAAATGTTGACTCTTGAAAAGACACAGTTGTTTCTTGTGATATTAGGACTTTCAAAATGTTATGTTGGAAATATTTCCCTTAAATTTGTTTAATACTATTGTTTAATGGAATGTAATTGTTAGCAATCTAAGTGATGGTGGTTTTCTTTCTTTCTCTATTGTTCTGTCTTTACAAGTAGGTGACAGTTACTTCCAGAACTGTTTTTTTTTTTAAAGATTTATTTATTTATGCATACAAGGCCTGAGGTGTGGGAGGTGAGAGGATCCCCCAGAGACAGAGTGGGGAACAGAACAGGTGTGCCTTAGCCAGAGGTCTTAAAGAAGAGAGGGAGGGTCTCAGATTAATTTTTCAGTGAAAGCTAATGGAAAACAAATAATGAGCCTAGAGTATTGAAAATTCAATGAGAAGCAATAACTGCCTGTTATTGCTGGGCTGCCTATTTTCCCTTTTTGCTTTTGGATAGGCTGTCCACAATTGATGGAGTGTTAAGTGCCTGTGCATTACTTAGCAATATGCATTTTGGAATCTTAAAATCTCTCTCTTATTTCTTAGATTATATACGCTAACACCATGTAGTCAGTGTACCCAGATCTACCTTCTCTCCTAAAGTCAGTGGGTCACATAACAGGTGAGTTTAGTGAGAAGCTGCAGAAGTCACTGGTTTATGTGTTGTGGTTTCAGTATACCTAAGAACCTACCATTAATAAATATGACATACCTGTTATAAACTCTTGGGGAAATGTAGATTTTGAATTCACAAATTTGCAATGTAATTTAAAATGGATTTTTTTTTTTTTTGCTTATAAAGACTCATACCATCTCTTTCATTCCTACTTAATGCTTAGCCTTTTCTATAGATGCAAATAATTCTAAGGAGATGCTGGAAGAGGAGGGCCAGTAGTTCTGTTACAAGTACCTGTTCTGCAGATGAACCTTGTCCACCATAAGTGGTTTAGCTGTTTCCCTGCTGGGAATGGAGAAAAGATAACCTCAGAAGGCCTAAGGATTAACATTTCCTCCCAATGCATTTGAAGGGAAGTCTAAGACCAGGTGAAATGTAGTCCAAATATGACCAAATACCTTGGAACTTGGAACCTTTGTATACAAAATTTCAGGTTTGTGTTTATGTGTGTTTTAAACCCTCACTGGGTTTAAATATCAAATGCCATCCACCCTCGACAAATACCATAATAGATATTGTTTATATTTTTAAAATTCAGGGAGGCAAGCCTGGGTTGTCATAGTGTCAGTAATTTTCCCAAAGTCACCCAAGAGAGTGGCATTGGGGCCACACCCCAGATAGAAGGTTATGTTCTTCAAACTGTCCACTTTGCTTTTCTCAGAAACCTTTCCCTTCAACCCAGATGCCTTATGTTATTAGAGGTAAGTTTCAACTTAAGTTTAGTTATTCAACTTAAGTTATTCAACTTAAGTTTCAAGTAGCAGCTGGGACGATCCAGGTGGTAGCCCTGGATTGTGTGTGGCAGGTGGAAGGCTCCAAGGTCCTCAAGTGTCACAGGCCTTCATTGTTTCTTCATTTGCCTCCTGGTGTTGCACTTATGCTGCTCCTTCTGGAGTCGTACCTGCCCATTGACATTCTTCCTCCTCATTTCCTACTGCTGGTCTTTTTACTTTTTTTAAATATTGCCTCCTCTTGTCTCTCTCTCTCTCTCTTTCTCTCTCTCTCTCTTTAAAATTTATTTATTTATGCATGCCAGAACTGGGGTACAGGCGTGGGGGGTGAGAGCATTCACTAGAGACACAGTGGGGAACAGAACAGGTGGATTGACTGAAATACACTGCTGAGGGGAGCAGCGGGAGAGACAGGAGAGGTCTTCTATGCAATGTGGGTCACCTCCCTGGCTAGGGATTGAACTCGTGCTGCAGTGCCTGCATATAGCTTCATAGGTTGCATCTTAACACTTTGCGCCACCAGGAAGGCCCCTGGTCTTTTTTCTTTTTAAGGTTTATTTATTCATGCATACAAGAACTGGGGTTCAGGCCAGAGGTGTGGAGAGGTGAGAGGATTCACCAGAGACAGAGTGGGGAGCAGTGTCCTGTGGGTTAGCTCCCTGACCGGGGATCGAACCTATGCTGCAGTGGTTGTCGATAGCTTGATAGCACTGAGACTTTAACCCCTTGTGCCACCAGGGAGGCCCTGCTCTTTTTTTCCTAGCACTGGAATGCAGGCCTGGCAAGGTAACTCTAAGAGCAGATAACACTTGAGCCTCTCGTGAACAAAGAAATGAAAGTTAAAATACAGTCATTTTATTGAGGTCAATTGTAGGGAGAAGAGTGACTTAAGAGGACCCCCCTACTCCTAGATATTTGTATTACCCAAGGCATACTAAATTACCTTTTTGACCTCATTCATAATGAATCATGAGCTTTACCCTATGTCTTTAGATATCATCTAAAAATATTTGTCATGGTTCTTCGTCACTCCATTGTATGAATTTGGCATAATTTAAGTTCTATTTGGGATATTTTGGTTATTTTGTAGTTTTTTTTCCCATGATGAAAATCATAAAAAATGGATAAATCTTGCCTTTTGTGACAACATAGATGGACCTTAATGGGATTATGCCAAGTGAAATAAATCAGAAGGAGAAAGAAATGCTATGTGATTTCACGCATGTGGAATATAAAGAAACAAAACAAAGGAGCAGATAAAATGGAACAAAAACAAACATAAATTCTGACAACACAGTGGTGATTATTAAAGGCAAAGCAAGTGGACATGAGAAGGTAGAACCAGGTAGAGGGGATTAACTAGATGGTGGTAGATTTTTGTGTGTGTAGTGTGGTATATACATTTGTTGAATGTGAAGCTATTTACCTGACAGTGTTGCAAACTTTGATAAAATTGTTTTTAAAAAGGATCTTTATGAGATGAGAATTTTTCACCATGTAAAGAAATAAAACTGGTTTTAATGGGTTGCCCTAGGCATTGTTTCATTAGTACATTGCAACAGAATTTCAATCAAATAAGTCATTATTTTTCTGAAATAATATAATCATAATATTAGTTTTATTTTCAGATGGGGAAAATAAAAGTGATCAATGAAAAGAATAGATTTTACAATTATGTCATTGATATTCTGACCACATGACTTATCTAACAGTTAAACTGATATGAAAATTTGGTACAGTGATAATATTTTCAATCCTACAGGTTGATAGATAAGTATCTAAATTTGAAAAATCCAAACAAATTGTAAATAACGACCACTTCCTACGAGTCCCCAATTCATTGACTAACTTGTATCTTCTGGGTTATTCTTTGACATTTGAACTTGATTATGTCCATCATTCCTAAGAAGAAAGCTAACCAATAATAAGAAATTAGTAGAAATTGAGGAGCCAATTTTTGGATATTTTAAAGTTTTATCTTTTACTTTCAGGTTAATGTATGTTGAAAGAAGGGTTGAGGGCCTCCCCTGGTGGCGCTGGCGGTTGAACACTGCGCTGTGAAGCTGTCTGCAGCCTCTGCAGTGCGGGTTCAATCCCAGCCGGCAGGCAAGGGTCCCACATGGCGCCACAGACCTCTCCTGTTGCTCCCGCTGCTCCCTTCAGCAGTGTATTTCATCAGTCTGCCTGTTCTGTTCCCCACTCTGTTTCTGGTGAATCCTCTCACGGCCCTGCACCTCTGGCCTATACCCCAGTTCTTGTATGCATAAATAAATAAAATAAATCTTTTTAAAAAATGTGCGAGCATAGAGGAATTTGACTTGTTGCCTGGAATAAGCCCAATATTCTTAGGATGAAGTCATACATCATTAATCGCCTGTCTCTGCATTCTTTCCAAAGTGATGGCTCTTTGAGTATCCACACTTGTGATAACTTATGTTTCCTGAGTACAAGAACCCCAAGACTACCAATTAAGGAAGAAGAGCCAGTGGTGGTTGTGTTATATAATCAGCCTGCTACTTGGATGCTGAGGGTAATTGTCTTGTTTCTTTTTAACTTCTAGTGCTTGAAACAGTATATGCAGCTGGCAATCCGAGAAGGCTGTGGGTCTCCCATCACTTGTCCTGACATGGTGTGCCTCAACCATGGGACCCTGCAGGAAGCTGAGGTATGCATGAGTGCCAGTATCATCCCTTCTTTCCTGTTGACATGATTTTCCAGGGCCTTGTCTCCTTGCGTACTTTCTTACCAAGGAGTCTAGAAACAAACTACAAAGGTTAACTTTTAAAGGCATAACTTATTGCTATCTAACTTTAGATTCTTCATATAAACTGTTAAAGCTGTAATTTACCTCCATTCTATTTTTAGATGCTATCTAAGTGTTGACGAAGCTTTAGAATAGGCTAATGTGTGAGAAATCAAATTCATCAAATGTAAAGTTTGGAGACTGAATAGTGAGTGGCCTTGTGATTTTAATCTTTTAAAGATAATACTGGAAAGATAAATTTAAAACAGATTAGCCACAGTTGTAGATAATATAAACTATGGTGATTCACAAAGGTAGGCCGAATTGAGCCAATTCCAAAGAGCAGAGATGTACCTTTCATTTGACCTTTAGCATGCCTCAAAAATACGGTTTTTGAGTGAGTTCTCCCATTTTCTTAAGGCTGATTTATCTCTTTCCTTTGTTCAATCCATTATCAGTAACTTGCTTTTCTTGTGACTCTTAATCTTCAGATCCTGCTTTCTTTAAATGGGCAGTTAGTGAACTATTGCCCATTCTTAGGGCACTTGTAAGCCTCTGATAGCGGTCACAAGACAGTGATGAAGTAAGTTATTCATTCACCAAATATACCATACCTGCTGTGCTCCAGATCCTCTTCTGCTTGCTCTCATAGTATATTATTGGATCCTTTCCACAAATGCATGAAGCAGAGGTCCAGAGGGTGGAAGCAATTTGTCCAGGAGTGGCCAACTAAAAAGCAGGAACACTAGAATTCCAATCTATTTCTTTCCTGCCACCTCAATCACATGGCTTTAAGAGTAGAATTAGGGCCTCCCCGGTGGCGCAGCGGTTGAGCACTGGGTTGCGAAGCTGCCTGCAGCCTCTGCAGCCAGTTCGATCCCCGGCTGCTCCCTGGCCACCGGAGGAGGGTCCCACATGGCGCGCAGACCTCTCCTGCCGCCTGCTGCTCCCCTCAGCAGTGTACTTCAGTCCTTCTGCCTGCTCTGCTCCCCGCTCTGGCTCTGGTGAATTCTCTCACCCTCCCGCGCTTCTGACTGTACCCAGTGCATGTATAAACCAAACAAACAAACAAATAATAAATAAATAAATAAGACATGCCTCTAGAAAATTAAAAAAAAAAAAAAAAAAAAGAGTAGAATTAGTTGGATAATGGGATCCTGATAAAGACCCCATAGCTGGAAGCTCAATCTCAATAGTGTGTGTAGATATATATGCAATATATGTGGATTGTAAATAAAACAGTCAGAAAGATGTAGATCATTCCCAAGCAGTCTGCATTTAGGAGTCCTGTGTTCTGCCTGTGGAATATCAGCTCAGTAGGACAAGTGAGTTTGATGTGTTTTTTACGGAAGGATAAAAGGCATACATGATAGTTTAGATGTGACTCATTTTAGGGAAATCATGAAATAATTGAGTTTTTTTTATAAAAAGGCAATAATGAATATGTAAATCTTGTGGTAAGAGGCAATTGTTTACTTTTGTGTGAGTAATGGTAGAAGGAAATTCAAGTGGGAAAATATTAGGTCAGCTACCAAGAACACTGTTGATCTGTGCAACTTGGAAATGGTTTTTAAAATGAGTTTCAGAGGAGACGGGAGCAGATTAGAAAGGGGGCTGAGTAGACAGACTGTGGGGGCCTTCGTTGGAGGGTGTGGCGTGGTGACATACACCTGAAGGGTGTGATCCTGTACCTCTCAATCACAGATAGTATTGTAAACCAGTGTTTCCTCAATTAAAAAAATAAAATAAAATGAGACTCATCTATTCAAGGGCATCTTTTTATATATAATCCTTCTAGGAAACATGTTTCTTTTCTTGTGTATTTCTTTCCCATCTGATCAGTCAACAAATGTGTATTAAGAGTGCTTAGCGTGTGGTGTCTGTTCCAGACCAGAATAGAGAGGTGAGTGGGACAGTCCCTTTGCTCTCATCCTGGAACTTCTGACTTAGCAGAGAGGAGGAAACTGACAATGAGTCAGATCCTTCTAAACGTGCAAAGCGTGCGATGGAGCAGGCCCCAAGAGCTGTGTTTTGTCTGACTTGACTCCTGTATGTAAAATCTGTTAAACATAAATGAATTGCTTGATGAAGTTTTAAAGCAAGCCTTTGAAGTGGAACATAGTGCAGTATTCTAGACTTGTGCTATCCAATCCTGTAACCACTACTTGTGACTATTTATATTTAAATGAGTTAACATTCAGTCAGCTTTAAAGTTCAGTTCTTTGGTTGCACTTGTCACTTTTAAGGTGTTCCGTAACTTGCCCAGTGTCTTGAAAAACAGAACTTTACATCATTCCAGAAAGTTCAGTTGCAAGTGTTGTTCTCCTTGAATGGTCCTTAGGGGCCATCAAAATTGGCTATCAGGGCTTCCTTGGTGGCTCAAAGGGTTAAGAACAGCACTGTGAAGCTATCCACAGCCTCTGCAGCATGAGTTCGATTCCCAGCCAGGGAGCTACCTACCTGGCGCAGCAGACCTCTCCTGTCTCGCCCGCTGCTCCCCTCAGCAGTGTATTTCAATAGATCTGCCTGTTCTGCTCCCCACTCTGTCTCTGATAAATCCTCTCATCCTCCTCACCTCTGGCCTGTACCCCATTTTTTTATGCATAAATAAATAAAAATAAATCTTTTTTTAAAAAGTTAAAAAAAATTGGCTATCAAATGTTAGTAATTATGTGTTCAGACAAGCCAGTGGTGAGTGAAGACCGGTCTTTGGTTTCTCTTGTAACTCTCTAGAACAGAGCTAACATTTCTGGTTTTCTTACTGAGGACAGTTCCCCTATCTTTTTAAATCCTTATTCTTTCCCACTATAAACGTACTCATTAACATTTTCCTACTTCAGGTTCTACTTAGTTTTATTCTAAAAAAGAAATTTACTTTTAGGCTACGTGAAAATCAAACAAATCTACAATGACTCTTAAAAATTTTAAGGGGACATTTGGAAGAATAAGACAAAAACATATTCTAGAGTAAACTAAGGTATTCCACAGATTCTTCAAAGTCTGTTTCCCATGAAATGAGTAAGCAGTTGCTCCAAGGCATTGACAGGCCATTTCTGTATTCTTTGATCTCACTAAGCCTGATTGAAGATGGATCATCATGTACAGTAATCAAATGTTCTTAACCCATTTGCCACTACTTTTTTTTTTTTCATCACAACTGTGGTTGTGATGTCTTTTATTTTGAATTGAGGAATGAATAGAAGACATTGGAGCTATCGGTAGCTTCTTCAGTTTATACAGGGCCAATCCTTTCAAAACAAATACCAAACACACATGAACTTGAGCTATATCTACTTCCTTTCTGACTTACTTTCCATCAGGCTGTCCTTATATATAGTTATTGTAGTAACCTGTAGCTCCAAATATAGATATTATTGAGTATACCCCAAGAGGCCTTATCCACAATAACTTGACCAGATTCTATCTCTATGACTACTTCCTCTGTCTTTTAAAAAATGTTTGGGGCAGGAGGAAGGGAGTAGGGTTAAAACAAGGGTGGTAGGAATTGTATTGGGACTATAAGATGAAAATGCATACATTGTGCAAAAATGAAAATGATGTAAAAAATTTAAAATAAAAAAATAATAAAAAATGTTTGGGGGTGGGTGGGAAAGCAAACATTGTTTAAAAATGAACAATGGAGCCTCCCCTGGTGGTGCAGGCGATTGAGTGAAGCACTGTGAACCTGTCTGCAGCTTCTGCAGCATGGGTTTGATCCCGGCCCGCAGATGACAATCCCACATGGCGCAGCAGACCTCTCCTGTCGCGCCCGCTGCTCCCCTCAGCAGTGTTTTTCAGTCAGTCTGCCTGTTCTGTTCCCTGCTCTGTCTCTGGTGAATCTTCTCAACCCTCCCATGTATCTGGCCTGTACCCTGGTTCTTGTATGCATGAATAAATAAATCTTTAAAAAAAAATAAAAATGAACAATGATGAAGTAAATAAATAAATAAACAAATAAACAAATGTTTGATTAGAGCTACACACTTTGCCTGCCAAAAATAATTCTGATTAAAGCTCAAGTTCCTTTCCGTTGCTGTTGTTTGTATTACATTATATGATACTTCATCATGCATTGTCTCATAAAATGCATTTAAATATAACCTTTCTTCATCTTCAGAGGATTTCAAGAATTTCAGCTCTTTCGTCCAGAATCTTTCCTGCTGCAGGCCTTGCTTGCTCTGCTGACTCTGTTCTGTGTGTCTGTCTCCTGCTGGCTTTGGGTCCCTTCTGTCTTTTTAATGCTTCTAAATGGACTCAGCTGTCTGCCTCTCAACCATTATTTATCAAAAATAGCTTCATCAGCAAAGTATTGAAACGCCCCATTCAAGGACTATTTGCTGATGTAGGAAACAGTAGAAAAGGCAGCTTCCTCTTCAGTGTCTTGGAAGCTGGGGGAGGCGTTGACTCTGGAGATGCGCCTGCTGGGAGCCAGGGAAAAGTCAAACTTTCCTCCTTTGCATCATCTGGTTCTTTCAGCTGTTGCTCTGCAGGGCCCTTTCAATGTACTTGATCCAGGGATCTTGTCCAATATGGAATTATGAAAGGCGGGACACAGATTGTTTGTTCTAACAGCAGTACTTCAGGCAAGGCCTGTGCTTGGAGTTAGCCTTGTTAAAGAGGCCATGGTGAGTAATGTGAGCAGTTCCTTTGCAGCGTTCGGGAAAGTCGTGTACGGTCACTGACCGGGAGAACCTGCACAATTTGTCTGGAACGTGTAAGCTTTGAGTGGCAAGCATATAACTGGTTTGAGTAGCAACAACCATTACACGGCTGGAGAAATTCAACTTCCTCCCACTACCAGCTGGCCGTGCGGGCCCTGGAGCAGCATCTTACCCTCAATCCTCCTTCTAAACCCCAGGACACAGGAAAGACCAGCCTGCCTGTTCTGCTAGTGCCACAGCACCAGAGGAAGGAGGGGGTGT